AATATAATACTGTACTGTTTGTGGTAAATGTTGTTACCTTTAATCAGGAAAATTTTTGCATCTTTAGCTACCAAAGACTTCCAAAAGATTAAAGAGTCCAGAGAAACAAGAACAAAAAAGTCTCCAGTCTTTCTATCATCTCTCTGGCTTCCCTTTTCTTTTTTCTCAAGCATGCTTCCTTTTTTCTGGTTTTTCTAGAGAATTTTGCCTACCTAAGTTTGACCTTGAATTTTTTGGTCACACCAGATTTCCTGAAAGATGATTGGTCAAGGTCACAGATTGGTTGATAACGTCAGCCACAGAAAAAGTAAACAAGACACATACTTCTCACATGTTTCCAGTCACGCAACACCAAACTGATGATGTAATTGGTTCCTGAAAGAGTTGAACAATCATTAGTTGAAGTTGTGAGAAGAAGAGGAGCAACTCCTTTTGTTCCCATCCTTTTATTTTATTTTTTCTTCCCTATTCTTTCTTGAGGACAGGAAGTAGTAACAAGGTCTAGGTCCTATTCCAATCTGGTAACAAGTTGAAGTATCAATATTTATCCCGAAAATGGTTGGAGAAAGGGATCTTGAAACTATTCACCAGTTGAATAAAGCAATAATTTCAGAAGACATGGCTTGGGAGAGAAATCAACAATAGAAAACCAATATTCTTTCTGGTCAGAAGTCTTCAAGCGTAAAGTCTCAAGAAATACTCTCCTGAAGTACCCTTAAACGTTCTTGGACATTGACTACTCCAATGGAAATTAAACAGTCTGACTGGCCACAGGTGGTAAGAAATGAGGTATCATGAGAGGCTTGGGTTTTTGAAGTTTACAGAGATAACCTCTTCAATGATAGTTAGAATAGACAATGGCTTTTTTTCTTTTCTTTTGTTTAAAAAAAAATTCCTTTTTTATTCCTTTTTCCCCTTGCGTAGTTACTACAAGAAGGGGGTGACACAATTTGGGTTTATGGTCATGATTGCAGAGGTGATCTGCAGGTTTTGATCCTGCTGGAACACATTATCACTCCCATAAATCGCATCTAGAGGCTTCGACTAAAGATGGGTGTGTTGGGTTGGGGAAATTTATACTTTATATGGATTCTCAACTTGTAATGGTTCTTTATAATTAAATAAATGAACGATACCAACCTAATTACGGGATTAAAAAAAAAAAATTAAGTCTTGTTAATTTTCTAAAATATGGAATTATTTTGTTAAAGAAATTAAAAAAAAAGCAATGGACATTATAAAACTATTTATAGTTATTATAAAAAAAATGTTTACAAGAAAAATTAGTAAAATTAGAAGCTTATTTAACAAATAAATATATTATCTATTTAGATGATATATATATCACAATATTAACAAGAAAAAGTAGCTAAAAAAAATCCAAATTATACTTGAAAATAAAAAAATTATACTTTATTATCCTTAATATCACAAACAACAATAATATTTCATTATATATTAATTTATCTATTATCAAATACTATTATTAATTGATTAGATCAAAAAATAATTATGGCTTGAATAATGACAGAAATTTCTTTTAATGTTATTGAAAATTTATTTATTTTAAATATATTCAAAGAAGTAGCTTGCATATAATTTACCATAAAGAATAACTTTATCAGAATAATTACTGTATAAAGAATTAGCTCAATTAAATAAAGCAATCAATCAAGATTTAAATAAAGCTAATCATTTAACTTTAGATCAGTATTATTAAATTACATTTATAAAAGTGAAATATAATAATTTTTTTTTCTTTAAAGCTTCTAATGTTTGAACAACACTATCAATGGAATTGATTTATAATTATATTATTATAACAAATAATCAAAAAAAAATATCTAATTAGTTTACAAAATTACTTTATCAAATCTTATACAGACAAATTTTTAGTAAATGAAATATTGAATATTATTGAAAAGCTTAATTCAAATAAAGTTGTAGCTGTGATAACAGATGCAACTTAAAATTATAATATAGTATATAAAAATATACAAGAAACATATTTACATATTTGGAATGTTTGATGTGCAATACATGTGATTAATCTTATTACAGTTGATTTAGTTAAGTTAAATAATATAGAATATTAATTAATAATTGTAAAAAAATTAATTATTTTTTTAAAACTTCTAATTTAAGTTACTTTTTTTTTTTTAACAGGCAGCTTACGCCTTGTTTATTGAATATTATATTAAGTGTTTTTACAAACTTTTACAAATTTGAAACTTTAACTATTTCTTAAACTCACTAAATGTTTTTCTTACCATGCAACTTATTGCCAAAAATTGATATATCTTTGACTAATTTGTCAAGGCTCTACCAATTCCAATTAAAAGAAATTCTATGATTATACAGTGTATTCCAGTTTATTCAATTATTAGTTGCATAACTCATAATTGAGTTAATTCCTGATATATGTGATTTTGTGTTTGTTCTTTTATATATATTTGTTATTCATTTTCGTTTATCTTGTTTGGTTATATTATTTGTTTCTTCCTATTTTAAGAAAATTTCATTGCATTGCATCTAAATTTTTTTTTTCCAAGTTAAACAACATTAGATACAAATCTTTATCAATATTACATTACATCAAATATCCTTTGTAATACATTGATTACAACTAAATGCTAGCCTATTAACTTTCATCTAATACCCAGAAACCCATTACTTAATGACTTTTCTTTATGATATCAGGAGGCTATAAGGGGTAGAAATTCTACGACTAGTTTTAAACTACCGATACCTTTGAAGATCTGTACAATGCCTCATGACATGTTGGTGATCATAAGGATTACTAATCAAGTATAAAAAAATGAGTTTTGAATTTGAAGACGAATTGGAAGAAAACCTGATCGATCTAGATGCACCACAAGCAAGAAGAAGGCAAAGCACCAGCACCATACATGATGTAACAAATTCAACAGGCAGCTTAAACTTAGAACGTCAAGAACCAAGGATGAAGCCGAGAGAAAAAGAAAAGTCCATTGGATCAAAGTGCGAGAATTCAGAGGTGAAGAATTTGAAGACCTGTATGAATGGCTGGAACTGTACAAAAAGGCAGCAAGATTCAACAATTGGACAAATGAAAAAAAGTTGAGAATAGTGGTCAACTACCTAGAAGGAATGACAGTGGACTGGTATGAAGATTACTAAGATCAACTAAAATATTGGAACAATGAGCAGGAATGCCGAAGGAGTTTCATACTGAATTTCCTGCATTGCTTCGTATCAATGGAACAGCAACGTCGATGGCAAACAGAACTGTTCAGCTTGAAACAAAAAGATTACAAGAAGGTGATGGAATATGCCCATAGATTCCGAAGGCTGCTGAGGAAAGTTGACTCCAATGGCAATTACTTGAGAATCTGCATAGTGAACATATTCATGAATGGACTAAAGGGAAGAATGGCGTCAGTACCTGCTGTTAGGAACACGACCACGCTGGGCGAAGCAATCTACAAGACTAAACAGTTCGAAGATGAGAAAAGCTTTGAAATACATCACAGTAGCAAAGAAATAGAGAGAACAAGAAAAATGGAAAATAATATTCAGGAATTTCTTAAACAAGTACAGAAAATGAAAAAAAGTTATAATAAACCAGCATTAAGAAAATAAAGCACGAATCGATCGAAACCCATAAACACAAGTGAACGGAGTTGCTTCATATGTGGAGGAAAAGGGTCACATCTCTAGATATTGCCCCAAGAAAGATCGATCAGCAAACAAGTCCAACCAAGTCAATGAAGTTCAGTTTCTCGACGTTGAAAATAATAGAAGAACTGAGTGAAAAGTCTATGCTGGTGAAAATCAAAATATAAGAGGAAAAAGAAAGAAAGCATTAGAGCCAGGTTTACAATAGGATGGACGATTGAGGAACAGGCCAAGATATAATTCACAAACCTATAAATATGACAACGATTAACCATTAAATAATATAGACAAAGAAATAGAGGAAGCGACACCAGCTAAAAGGAAGCCAAGATAAAAGAGAGGACTGTCAAAAATAAAAAGAACATCTTCGTACAACATCTTGAAAGATATTTTATCAGCGCCCACGACCGCCACGATTGGAAAAATGCTACAGTTCCAGGAACTTAAAAATACACTAGCAAAGGCAATTCAGAGATCTTTAATTAAAGTAGGGACAAACTACATAAGGACAAAAGAAAAAAGAAAAAAAAAAGAAAAGCAGACATTGAAACGAGATGTCAGGTAAAAATTAAAGATACAAGAGTGAATGCTATCATCGACATAGGAGCCACTATAAGCCTTATCTTGAAGAAACTGATGAATCGACTAAAGCTGAAAATCAACGAAAAGTTGACAACAACAATAGTATCCATTACTGATTTGAGGACTAGAGTATTAGGAAACATTAGCAACTTTAGAATATCAATACAAGAAATATTAATCCCAACGCCAGTACAGGTAGTCAACTCCAAGGATGAAATACTGATCTTAGGAAATGATTGGTTTGAAAAAGTAAGGACTAGAATCTACATTGATGAGCAAAAACTGGTGGTAAAATATAAGGGAAGAAAGATCAAGGTCCCCATCACAAATGACAAAGCAAAAAAAGTGCTGGCAGATGAAACTGACAGTGATAAGCTGTTCAACGAGGAACGAGCTGACAAGATAATAGATGAAATTGTATGTGAGAAAAAGAAGGTAAAAGAAAAGGAAGGATACTATACAGAGGAATCACGAAGCAATTCGGATTCCAATAATAAGAGGTGATCCGAGGAAGCGGGACCTGCAGTGTATTTTGCTCAAATCGGAGAACCAGCATTACTAATGAAAACAAAAGTAAGCAAAGAAGGTAATAACGAAAGAAACAACAATGCAAGAATTAGCCTGGAGAGAACTGAAGATGAAGCACTAACAGAAACAAGTAATAATAAACAAACTGGCAGATTAATAATCAACCACGATATCTTCCCACCAGAAGATAATTCTTGGCACCAATCAAGGAGCTCCTGACATTAATAGAGGTTATGCAAGAAAGAAAAATAGAAGAAAGGATTGAAATGCTGAAGATGAATGACGAACTTGAAAAAGAACAAGTGAGACAAGTGAAGGCAGTGTTGAAGTAAGAGCGAGATGTGTTTGCACAATCCGTATCGGAGTTGGGCTGTACTGATGTAGTTGAACATGTAATCGATATTGGCAAGGCAACTCCAATCAAGCAAAACGTGTACCAGACCACCCCAATCATAAGGGAATTCATTTGAAAAGAAATAGCTCATTTAGAAGAATGAGGACTAGTTCAAGAGTCAAAGAGCCCGTGGTCCTCCCCGATAGTTGTGGTACTGAAGAAAGGGGAAAAACTTAAACTGTGCATAGATTACCGTAAGATAAATGTAGTAACAAAGAAAGACGCATACCCCTTACCGTTGATCGATGATCTAATTGAAGCCTATGCCAATGCATGATGGTTTAGCACGATAGATCTAATGTTGAGTTATTGGCAGGTCAAGATGCTCAAGAAAGATAGGGAAAAAATGGCATTCATAACATTTTTTAAGATATATGAATTCACCGTCATACCATTTGGTCTGTGCAATGCACTAGCAACATTTCAGTGCCTGATGAACACCTTATTATGTGAATTCATTGGCAAGTTTGTGATGGTATATCTGGACAATGTGACCATCTATTCTGGAACATTCGGAAGCATACAATGCACATTAAAGCAGTATTCGACAAGATCAGAAAGACAGAATTAAAACTAAACTATGATAAATGTGCATTCTTCCAGGCGCATATAGAGTTTCTAGGTCACATGATCAGGAGAGACAGAATCCGGTTCGACGAAGCTAAAACGGATAAAGTAAAATATTTCCCAGTTTCAGAAAATGTACGTCAGCTGTGAGAATTTATCAGCCTCACTTCCTATTATCATTGGTTTATAAATGATTCTTTACGATTGCACAGCCGCTATATTACTTGATCAAAAAGAATGTTAATTTAGATGGCAGGATGATCACTATCAGACATTCGAGCGATTGAAATAGCACCTCATCACTGTACCAACGTTGAGATATCCTGACTACTCGAAAACCTTTTACATCCACACTGATGCGTCCAGGCATGGATTAGGCACTGTGCTAGCACAAAAAGACATAATCGATCAGGAGTATGTAATCATATATGCAAGCCGTGAATTAACTAAGCACAAATGAAATTATGCGGTAACTGAGCTAGAATGCTTGGCTATCGTGTGGGTGATTGAGCGCTTACAGCACTATTATGGGCTCAACCCCTTCATTGTAGTGACTGACCATAAGACATTACAATGGTTACAGACAACAAAACTAACAGGGAGACGAACGTGATGAATTTTATGGTTACAACCTTTCAATTTTACTATAGTATATCGAAGTGGCAGAAAACATAGCAATGCTGACGCGTTGTTCCACCTCTAATACAGTACAGCCACATGAGAAATGAAGAAGGAAATACGAAGAAGAAATAAATAGAGTAGAGTCATCAAAAGTTTGAAAAAAAAAATCATTTTTAAATCTGAGGAACAGAATTCAGCCCAGGTTCCGGTGTCCTGGCATATAGATAAATTAAAGGAACAAAACTACAAAACAAGATGGAAGCCACATATTATAACCAGCTTCGAAACTATTTACAGTACCAAAAACTACAAAAAACGTTGAGTGTAAAAGAGAAATGCCAATTGCAAAGGAAAAGTAAGGGTTACAAATTTAGGGATGGTATTTTCTACAAAAAGCTTACAAAGAATAAGAATTGCTTATTGCACATGCTTCAATGACACGAAGTTGAATCCATTCTATTCTTAACATATCAACACCCATTGGGCAGGCATTTTAATAAGAATATAATATTTGCAAAGATCAAAGATAGTTACTACTGGTCACAAATGTATGACAGACGATATACGTACCTATGCTCAAAATTGCGACCAATATCAGTAGTGAGGTAAAATGCACATTCCAGGATTCCTATAACTATAACCTATATCAATTCTAGCTTCTTTTCATTAGATCAGGATTGATTTTGTAGGGCCTCTGCCCCATTTATCTAGATTAAAAAAAGACATTATTGTCGCCATGGATTACATAACAAAATAGCCCAAAGCAATCGCCACTAAAAAAGCAGATGCATCTACCGTAGTTGACTTTATTTATGATGACATCATTTGCTGTCACAGGTGCCCACAGAAGATAATCACAGATCGCAGTACTCAGGCTCGAACACATGGAAACTGGATGCCAAGAAATTAACAAAGCAAACTCCATTGTAGTATGGGATATTCCCCTGAACACAAAACTCATTGAAATGAAACAGGCCTTCTTCAAATATGACCAAATTCAAGGGATCACTATGAAAATCCAAAATTTATGGCAGTGTGCCACAATCACATTTGAAGATCCAGAACACAAGAAAAAATTTGTCAACAACAGAAGTATCCTCATCAAGAGATACTCCATAAGAATTAATGATGCAGAATGGACACTACAACAAATGAAACAAAGACACAAAATAGTAACAAAACTGACAAACCTATTCCCCAACACAATAGCATAGGATATCAAAAACATCTTAACACAATGCAAAGGCTGTACATGCTATATTCCCAGATTTGCAAACAGGGGATACAGACCCAAGAAATTCACAGTTATTAGTTTTGAAACACAAGATAACTTATTAGCAGCAGTACAAACACAATACACCCTAGGAGAAACCATACTCTCTTTCACTTCAATTTCAAAAAAGCTATATGCAATAAGTGATGGAATCTCACATCTGACCAAAGATTGTCCAATCAAAGAAAGATGTCACCAATGGGACACCTATAACAAAAATCAAACAACTAAGTTCGGAAACCTTTACAACAAATATAAACTAGAAAAAACAGCAACAATCTGCAACATCAGCAAACTCAGAACTCTAACAACCCCAAGAGCAGGAACATATGCAAGAGCAGTCTTGCAAACAACCAAAACAGAACATGAAAACCTTGCAACTCTCAGAGACATAACCAACATTCTTAGAGAAATCCAACAACAACTAAATACCATCAGACACCAGGTTGCAGAACTGGACGAACACATCACCAACTTAGAATATTATAACGAAGAATACTATGAAACAATGGACAGTAAACAAACACTAGCCTCACCAGAATCATCATCCATATTCCAAACCAATCCTATGCAATCTATCTCAGAAGACAGCTTCGAAGATCTTAGAAGCACCCAAATGCAACTTTTTTCCTCAATTGAGGAAATGGAAAACAAGATGAACCAAATGCTTACCACAATAGATGCCATAGCCCAGACTATACATGCGGTATAAATTATTTGCTGTTAACTCAATTTCCAAAATCCTCAAAAATAATTGCGTCATGACTCAATTATTTATATGTTTTAATAGTGACTCAATTAATTGCGTCAAATAATTGCGTCAATTGCATCAAGGATTTATGAATTTCAGCAACATGTATAGCCCAGACCTCAACAAAGAACAACACTAATAATTAATAAATATAGGGAATTCTCACAGCAACAATAACAATAACAACAAAAAACAATTGAACCCGACAAACAACCAACAAATTGACAACATCAACAACCCCCTCCTAACACCACAACAACTCGAAACAATCTTAACATGTTCAGACTCAGAATCTAATCACAGTAATGAAGACACAACCACACCACAGACTATACAAACCAAAACGACCACAAATATCACAAAACCACCACTAACAAGCAATACAAACAAAAAACCATAGGAAGAACAAAGCAAGTCATCCTATCCAGAGCCAACGCAAATCAACAACACATTAACAGACATAATTAGCACATGAAGAATCTTCACAATTAATACCAGAGGCCTCAGATCCAATATAGGAAAAGTAGCACTATGAACAGAATAGATCACTAAATCCAAAAGCGACATAATAGCTCTCACAGAAACAAATATTTCAAAAAACGAAGGAACTTTTATCCACTTCCCTAATTATTAAACCAACTGGATTGAAACCAGTAACCAAAGTAAAGGCTTCGGAGTAGCACTCCTGATCCAAAAAGACTTAGCAAGACACATCTTTAAAATTAAAACATAGGAAGACAGAATTATATGGATCGACTTCCTCTTCAAATTTAAAAGAAAAGTACAAATAATAGCAACATATATACCAGCAGCATCATATCAAAAACATCACGAGTGCACCAAGAAGTTATCAGAGATTCTTACACAAGCAACAGCATCACAAATACATACAATAATACTTGAAAACTTCAACATGGTAACAAATTCAAGCCGCAACATGCCCAACTCCAACTTCTTCAAACACAAACAATTTTCGTCAACAGGAACAACCATATAATGGCTGTCAGCAAACCAATATAACGACACTTTCAGGAAAATCAACCCATACAATACACAGCATACATGGGAAAATCAGGACAATATCTGAAGCAGAATAGATCAAATCTGGATCACACCCTCTCCCTTTGAATAGTCATTACAGCACAAATCAAAGAAATAGACAAAATAATCTATGAAACTGATCACAATCCTACCCATGCCACCATACAACTCTGGAATACAAACACAACCAAAGAAAATCACTTCAAAAAATAATCAAATAACAGATACAGATGGAAAGATACAACAGCAGAAAACTGGAAAAAATTTGACAACGAAATTCTCACAAACCTCAAACAACAATGGCCTAACACCTCCAAAAACACTATCACCATAGAAAAGAAATAGACCTTATCAGGGACAACTTACTGAAAGTGGCAGCCAAATATATTAAAAAATATAAAGAAAAAAGAAGGAAACCAAAACCACCCAAGCCATTATCATATATTATCTGAAAAATCACCAAACTAAGAAACCTAACAAACTGGTTAGAGAAACAAGAAATTACAGAAGACATGTTTACTCTAAAGACTAATAACATTATCAAGAAAGTAGAGCACAGACGAAATCTCAAAATTAATCCTATTCAAGATCTACAAAACAACAATGAAATACAAGAGTAAAAACAACTATTGGAGTCACATCTGCAGAACTACAAACAAGTCTTCAAAAAACTCTGCACAAACAAGCAAGAAGAAAGTATTAAAGAAAGAATTGAGCAAAGAAATAACTACTTCTGCATCAATAAAAAACAAATAATTCGAAATCTACTAGATGACTCCAAAAGAAGCATAAACCTTGACAAAATCATCACCCATACACCAGAGGAACAAATAATAACAGAACCCAGGAAAATCAAGAAAACAGTTAGAAATCACTTTCAATAATAGATCAAAAAACAGAATACAAAACCTTTCAACAATGACAGATGGAATAAAGAACTACAACCCAAAGCACATATTGTTAGCAAATAGTATGAACAGATACTCACAACAATAACAACAGAAGAAATTCAAAAGACCTTAAGAAGCAAAACATCCAAATCGGCACCCAGACCCACAGACATTTCATATATTACACTGAAGAAACTGAGTACAGAAACCCTCACATACATAGCTGACCTCTTTAACGAAATCCTTCAAAAAGGACACCTACCACTTGAATGGAAAAAGGGAAATATCTACCCAATCCCCAAGCCCAAACCATGGAAAAACGATATCAACATCACAAGACCAATAACACTTCTGGAGACAACAAGAAAAATTTTCACAAAAATAATCACAGATAGACTCACAACAACCCTCAGCAATCACAATATCCTATCATTACACAACTGGACAGCCCTTCCTGGATGCAGCACTCAAGAACCAATTCAAATCCTGAGAGCAATACAAGATGATGCAATACAAAACCAAAAACAAGCATGGATTCTCAGCTTAAACATGGCAAAAGCATACGACTCAATTAACATTCAAAGACTTATTATAGCCATGGAAAGAATCAAAATCTCAAAAAAAATAATTAATATCATAACAAACATGTGTGATAACAGACAAAACCAAGTAATTACACTATTCGGACCAACAATGCCATACACAGTAGAAGATGGAATAGACCAAGAAGACATGGTCTCACCACTCCTATGGAGAATATTATACAATCCACTAATTACACAACTAGCAGAGAACACACAAGGATACACTCTAACTGCCAGACAATGAAGTGAACCAACATTCCCACCCAAAATAATCAAGCAAAACATTTTATGCACAGCTTTTACAGATGATACAACCCTAATCACACAAAGTCAGGAAGATCTTCAAAAACTCTGTGACATCTGCACAGAATATTTCAATAGCAATGACATCAATATCAACGGTACAAAATCCAGCTTAATAATCCTAAACAACAAAAAACCAACAAAAAGCACATAACAATACAAAACCAACAAATCACAGCCCTTAAGCCAAACCAAGCGACCAGAATACTTGGAATATACATGGAAGGAGCAGCAACCAAAACATATCAAACATACCTAATCTTCACTAAAACAATCAAATTCGCTATCACAATTAAATGGAAAACGATAACTGACAAACAACTAAGATATTTACACAACCAGGTCTGGACATCCTTAGTAAACTACCTCCTGGCAGACCTTATCCTTTCCGAAGTGACATGTAACAAAATAATGAGTCATCTCAACAGAACATATAAACACAAACTCAAGTTTGCACATACAAGTCTGAATACCATACTCTTCAACCCAATGGAATATGGTTTCTTTCATATATGGGATCACCAAATTCTCCAACATGCTACCAATTGGTTCAAATGAACCAACAACACAAAAATAATTGGGAAAATTACAAACATGAAACTGCAAGAAATCCAAAACATGTACTGATCAACAAATCCAATAACAAGCATTCATTTCCAGACATCAATACTTCCCACAGGCAAAGACTTCTCACATGATCGAATATTTTTGCTAAGACAACAGGGCTTCGCAGGTACAACACAAACCCTTCAAATCATTAAAAAATCAGATACAACTCTACAAGAAGTTGAGGATGAAACATGATACAACAAACATAGAAAACAACTAGCAAAAAATCAAATAATGTTCATAAATCAAATCACCAACTACATCGGCATAAGACTGGTAGCATGGGTAGAGATCATGTATTCCAACAAAAAACCCAATAGAAAAAAACCAAAATGGTTTACAGAATTACAAGCAGAAGAAAGAATTCACCAAATAATCAAAGAAAGAAGAACCAAAAATATAGCTCAACCCATACTGACGCAGGTGGCAATCGAAACCAATAAAAAGGATATAAAGTAAATAGCAACCCAAACAAACAATCAGAGTATAATAGAAAGAAAAAAAGCAATTACAGGCAACATAGCCAAACTACAACATTACACAAGAATCAACAATCTCTCACCTCTTAAAGAATGCACAGGATACACTTTAGACATCCAAGGGAAAGAAGGAGAATGCATCTTTTAACGAAACCTTAACAGCATAATCAACATAGCAGTGCACAAAAGCAAGAAAAGTTCGAAACTCAATACAGACACTAACCTGTGCCACAGAAGCAAAACAACACCAACAAGCATGCAAAAAATGCTCAATAACACCTTCTCACACTATAACCTTTCAGCTCTACTACGAATATCACAAGACACACTTCAAATGAACATACACACAATCAATAAATGGATAACAACATCCACGACAACTCTGAAGCAACTGGCCACAATCAGACATAAGATAGGAAACAAGAAAATGATTACAGTCTTTACCGATGAATCCATGAACACAGACAAAAGAATGGGTTTCGGATGGTACATACCATAGATAGAGAACACTAGCTTTCAAGGAAGAGTCGAAAACTTTCCTTCATCAACAAGAGCAGAACTGGCAACAATAGCATCCTTTCTCACAATTGCTCCAGCAGGCATCACAGTCACTATTTGCAGTGACAGTCAAGCTGCTTTAAATGTAATTCAGAAAACACAAAATGACATACACAAATTCGAACCTTAAAAAACCAAAACATAATCAACACAACCATATATATTCTAGACTTTCAAAAAATAAAATTTATAGGGAAAAAGATCAAAGCACACAACTACGACCCTGACAATGACAAAGCAGACCAACTAGCCAAAGACGCAACCAACCAAACAGCAGATTCAATTCTCAACTTCCCAGCCATCAGACATAAGAAACAAACATGGACACAAGAGTGGAATAGACAAGTACTGGAAAACACAATCCCAGTAACCTGCAAAAACATCACAAGAATCAAACACATCCTAAGCTGAAGGATGCTGGAACGCAATCTAATCACAACTGACAACCAAAACACAAGAGATACTATCAATTGGGCAGAAACTCTTCAGAAAAAACATCCATCCAAAATTATCACAGGACTCACCAATCACAAAGATCACACAACAAGATCCTTCAGGTTCAAACTATAGAATTTAGAACTATTTACAAAAGATAAACTCCACGAAAGATCCTTAGAGACCTACACAGATGATATATGCATTCTCTGCAATGAAGAAATAGAATCCAACATGTATTGTATAAGATGCAAAAACAATGGCGAAAGCATCTTCAAAATACTAAACCAGATAATCAACGAAGAAGTCTGCAGCAGAATCACAACCTACCCAAAATATGAATTGAACAAAGAAATCCAACAACACCAAAGCACATGGACACAAGAAATTAAAAACTATATGCTAAAGGTGCAATAACCAAACCATTAATTCAAACAATTAAAAAATATACAGAAAAAGACAAACAACAAGAAACGATACACAGCATACTAGACAGATTCTTAAAGGAACTACACCAAAAATTAATAAACAGATACAAACAATTTGTCAAATGGGAAGAAGAAAACAACATTAGCAGACAAGAAAAAAGGAGATGGTCATCAGGAAAAAGGAAAAAAACATTAATAGGAAAAACCTTTATATCAGAACTTAACAAAATTATAAAACAATCAAGCTATAATTGGATCAACTAGAACACAATATACTCTTTTAACACAATTTTGAAATGGGATTGGTAGAGCCTTGGCACATTAACTAAGTATATGTCAATATTTGGCAATAAGCCGCATGGTAGGAGAAATCCTTAGTGAGTTTTATTTGGGAAAACAAGAGTGGAAAATTTGTATAAGATAAATTTGTATATACTCAATCAAATAAACCTAATAAAACAAGATGTAAGCCACCCATATAAAAAAAATTTTTTTCTTATACCAGTTGCAGAAGGTATAAGTATAATGGTTTTTAGCTCTTTCTTTGCAGATAGGACAGTATTTTTCTACAATAAACCATTCAACTATGTATAGTGATTCTTTATGATTGGAAATATAAGGTACAATAGAATTACCAATTGCGAAACTATAATTAGAGTTCCAATCATTATCATCTTCTTGAAGCATATAAATAGGTTCTTCTGTTTTATACATGCCTGACATGGCATCAGCAATGTTGTATTTTTTTCCTGCTCTATATATAATAGTATAGTTGTAAGGTTCTAGATATAGAATCTATCTGGCTCTTCTTCCTTTGAGTTCAAATGTCTTTAACCATTGAAGGGCAGAGTGGTCAGTTACCAGGTAAAAGTGATTAGTTCCAAGATATTGATGAAAGGATTCAACAGCCTAGATGACTGCCAAACATTCTTGTTCAGTAGTAGAATAGTTTTGCTTAGGTTTAGTTAGACTTTTGTTAGTATATGCAATGGTGTGTTCTTGTTTTCCTTCTTGTTAAGTAAGCACTGCTCCTAATCCAGTATCAGAAGCATTAGTGTGAAGGTAAAATAGTTAATTGAAATTGAAATCGGAATATCTCAATATTGGTACAGAAATTAAATATTGTTTTAATATTTGAAATGCTTTTTCCTATGTTCAGAGTACTAGTTTTTCTGAAAGTTTGTTCAATGGTTTGTGTAATGGTTTAAGTAAAGAAACATGTTGATCATTAATAGTTTATTATTATTAAAGGAAAACTTTATTAATGGAGAGTGGAGCAGACAACTCTCAAGATAATTAAAGAAAAAATACAGCTTTTAAATACATGTTTTCCC